ACTAGTTGTATCTCCATCATCCTCAAAAAATAAGGCCAGTAATCATCGTTGGGCCTACTGCACACCAAACTATAACTTTCGGGGTATGCAGGGGGTGCTCATGCAACTGTTGGGGGCTCACTGGAGACCAGTATCGACAATTTTGTTTACTGACGTATCCATTTAAATGAAAATGAGCTTCATCACTCATAAACAACGTCATGTCATTGTAATCCATACTTTGTGCATAATCCCCTGGTAACAGTAGTTGACACACTTGGATTTTGTAAGGATGGAAAACTAAATCCTTTTCCAGGATGCGACGTACAGAAGACGCCTGGATCCCTAGAGAACTGGCACGCAAACGGACGGAACCATTCGGGGTTTGCAGCGTGCCAACTGTCACCCTGTCTACGTTTTTTCTTCATCACATGACCTGCTGCTTTGAATGCATCCACCCTTCAAAATAGTGTTACGGTCTGATACTGTCCCTCGACGTGAAACACGAAAGTGCACGCGAAACTCACGTTGCATTCGAACGACAGACTTGCCATTTTGAAAGTACCGACGTACAGTGAACACACGATGCTCAACGTTCCAAACCTTCTTGTCAACTGAAACGGCACTTCTCCCACTATCCAACACGCCCTTCCCCACCGACACGGGACCAGCCCACTCGATGTAGCACCCATTCGAAAAACATGCGTTCTTTCTGACGGTCCCTGTATATTCAAAACATATAGATAGTTCTTAATTCCATAGTGATAAAAATGGTTTTAGGCAAGGAAATTTTTGCGACAGTATTTTCTTGTGGTGTCGTTAGATTAGTGGTTCCAAATGATAAGTTCAAGTTCTCGTCATTATAGGACACTTGCCATAATTTTGATAATCGCGTTTGATCGGAAATATCGAAAACCATAGGTTCTATGTGAAAAAGCAACAAAAATCGTATACAGGTTATTGTCCTCACCCGGTGATACCGTGGTAGGTGCCCACGAGACGGCGTGGCGCTACTAGAAAGCGAATGAAGATACCTTACTAATTCGGTTTGTTGCACTTGAACGCCGCCAGACGGAGCATCAAGCAGCTTGAAAGAACAGAGGAACAGTACCCTTTGTAGGATTGAATTTGCCCCTAACAGTCGATCCTGAAAGTTGGTTATTGGTTAGGTCCGCTCCACCGAATGGAGGAGATGCGGGTTCGAGTCCCGCCGGCGCCTATTCTTTATTTCTCTCAAATTGTTGTTTACTGAATTTAACCTTACTTGTATCTTTGTCTATATCATTATATACCCGTTAATACTGTCTACATTGAAACGTAACTAATTAAAGTATACACCTAAAAGCTTATCACTGCATCTGTATCACCGAATATCTGCCATAAAAGGACCCCCAAAGCTATATAAATATGGCTCTGACTTCAGTACCAAAAGTGAAGAAAACGTGGTATGGCTGATCGCAGAGATAGTGTATGTCAGCGACTAGTCGGAAGTTAATTTAATGAAAGGCTTATCTAACGTCTCTTATCTTGTGTAAGTTTGTTTAGCACCAGTACACGCAAGCAGCAAGGAAGCGTCCAATTTAATTTGACTAAATACGGATACGAATTGAACGTATAAATAGAAGCTATCTTCCGTGCTACCGCTGGAGAATTTCGAAATGCATCAACGGTGTCTTGAAGTTCATACAAGCATGTTCGTCTGAAAAAAGAGTCTTATAGGAAGCCTAACACTCCGACAAATATCACTTGCAACCTTGTGGAAACAAGTTGTCTCCTAGTTCATTAGTCTCCCTGCGGGGGAAATTACACAATGCAGTATAGTATCAAAAGAGAACTATCAGCTGTCCTAACCTCAATACCTTATTAAAGTCCCTGGAGCTGTTGAGAAAGAAGAAAACGATAATCCACATCTTTTACATGCTCAGAACCTGGCTTGGGGGTGCCAAGAATCAGAATAAGGAACCATGTATACAAATGGGTTAGAAACCAGCACAAGGAATATTGGCACTGGATGGAGGCATTGTAAAGAGTTTATCTGTGGACCATGTCTAAATACGGCTGCGGCATTGCTTTCAATGTGTAGATATAGGCCTTCTAAGAAGACATAATTGCCTGAAAGAAGACATTTGCAAATTAGGACAGGAGATGGAGACCTCAGCTGCAGACAATGCGGAAAAGGAATAGAATTAGCCTTACATGACTTATGCGAGTGAGAAGCGCTTGTCGCCTCTTAACCAACCTGTTAACAATGTTACACAAGTCTTACAACATATATGAGGGGTCCATAGTTTATCTTGGTCGCCAACTTGAATTCCAAAATAAAGTTCGTATGCTTTCAACACAAGGGGAGTAAAATTACGTTTTTGGGATTTAAACGTCAGCTCTCCGCACACATAACAAAAACTATTCGCACTATTTACACAATTTCTGGCGTTGTCCACAAAGCTAGTCTCGATCACAATAAACTAAAAACAACACGTAACAAAAATTAACGGTACTCAGAACATCCCAGTACTCTTCAACACAGAAAATGTATCTGACTCGGCTGCTATTAGTCTACTAATAAACGCAATATGCTCTGTAAACGTAGAGCTCGCAAATAATAAACAGGATTAGACAGGCCTCAACATTATATATGTGCGTCATCGCATAAACGCCGAGAAATGCAGCAATATGAGATGTTAAGTATTGTAAGTCATAAAAGTTGATATTATCGAATATCTGCGGGTGATAGAAAAATTCTGTTTTTACCCCAAAAATTGTCATATCATAAATCCTGTGTTTATCAGTGAATTTACAAGCTGGGCGTTTTTTCAAACATAATATCCTATAGCTAAACCCAACTGAATTCTTTGAAGAATTCTTTCGGAGTATACTAAAATATACAGGATATTTCATTTAAATACTCGTAATGCACGTTATGGATCACCCTTTAGAGAGCGGCACATTTCCCGCAAAGGACGATAAGGAACGTATATTTACTCTAATTTTCACAAACAACTTTTATCAATATCGTTTAAAATAAGAGAACTGTCAACCGATTGTACACTAAAAACTCACCTTGTTTCTAGATTCGCTAACCGCTATAGATCTTCATTAACATCATTGCTCGTAATTCCCTCCAAAAAAGACAAACTGGCTGAGCATTCTAACCGGTGACGTTGCAGGGATAATTCTCGCATAGCAAGCATTTTCAGACACCCGGAACTGCAGCGACTTGTATAAAAACAACCCTTCGAGCTATGACAGTCAACTACCCTTGGTTACACGCAGTCGGGTTGGATAATCTGGGCAATAAAGCTTGAAAACCTTTTTTTGCACCGAATCAGCCGCGAAAGCAGAAGTCCAAAGTTCGACACGGCGTCTGTCGGCACATCGCATCATGGAGTACACCTCTGAAGAGCAAAGCCCGTTGGCGTGGCGGTAAAAGAGAGCTAGATCGCCGACGGCCCGCCGGTGTGGACTGGTCCCGAGACTGTCCGTTAGAGAAGTCAGTCGGACAGCCTTACTCTGAACACCATCGATTATGGATAATGTACGATTTGCATGGGTGTCTATGCCAGCCTTAAAGGAATCGATGTTCGTTTAAGTCTCCATCGAACTCTGGCAGTATTAATATTAATACTCGGAAAATTTTAATTATGTGCATAACCCCAGAATATCAGCATTAAGCGATACGATCCACATACAATTTAGAACAGTCAGTATTTCCTTAGAAAGTTGGGAAACTCTTAAGCTCGTAGATCAATTTTTTTTGTTTGGTCGTTGGCCGCCGAAAATTGTTATTCTGTATTCAATTTTGGAGGAAGAGAAACTAGGACAAATCACAGCACTTCTGAGGAAGGTGGTGTTGTGTCTCAGCGGAGTTTCTTTCTAGGATAGGAAATACATTCAAAAATAACAAAGAAATAAGGTGTGGAGTATGTTGACACTGCTCTTCCCTCGCAACGCTACGATTTGTTCATAAAGGACTATATTCCGCCCCAAGCCCCCTATAAGAAGACATATGTCCAACAGCCCAATACAATTAGTCCATACACTCCACTGCCTCACTAACATTTGGCAACGTTGCTATGAGCAACGAGCTTACCATTTGTCAGCCACGGCACCACGGCAGCCACCACCGACTACGAAACACGACACTTATCGGTGAGACCATGACGTAGGTATATTCAGAGATGCCATAAATTTGAGATATGCCCTCCCAACCCGCTATTTATCAGATTATCAGAAACCTCTGAAATGTCAAAAGGCTTGAGCTATTTTTTGTTTTATTTTTGCCACTGAACTGAACTTCAAAAACTACAAAGTTTTTTTGTCATAGGCATAGTAATAATTTTGTGCCAAAGTTCCATCAAGGTTGAAACGATACTTGACAAGTGACAGACGGGCCTAGGATTACCGGAAAGACACACAGATAGACCGACATACCTGATGTTACATCCAAGAAAGATATCTCATTTTCCGATTACATTACTTGCTCGCAGTAGCTTGGGAAGTGAATTTCCTTGTAGATATACACCCCAGATACGTGTACGTAGTGCTGTAAACTTTTTACGCTACTGACGAAACTCAATAAGGACAAAACATGAACATTGTTCAAATAACGCGTGCATGAGTTAGAGTTAATCTATTAATACACTAGATAAAATGTTTGTCAAACCTCTCTAACGTTAGCGTGTTTTTAAAGTAGAACAGGTTGAAAAAATTAGTCTCACAAAATTTTTTCAAAAGACGCGAGTCATTTAGAATCGAATACCTTAATCAAAAATGCTAATATAGTGGCGAAAAAAGTTATATTTTTTTCTGTAGGTCACTAATTTAGATTCCACTAGTGTAGTTTTAGTTATATATTAAAAAACGTATCTGGCGTTTCTACTTGGTACTGCTGTTTCATGCTTTTTGGTAACCATCAGCATGGTATAGGCTTGGTCTCAGGTAGCACAACGTACACAGGCAGAGAATATATCCTCTATCTGAGCTATCATCCTTGACCTAGACGACATCTACTCTACTAGGGAGTCTGGGTAGCTCGGTGGTTAGCGCGTTGGGCAAGCAACTCGGGGTTCGCGAGATCGAATCTCCGCCTCTGATGTTAATTCCCAGCCATGGATGTTGTATTGTGTGTTGTCTATACCACGCACGTGGGTGCAATATTAACGATAGGTAAATCTCATCATTGGAGCTAGTTTATTATATCAGTTACTAGTAGATCGCTCTCGGAGTAGTACAGTGTTGATAATACGTGGTCAAAGGCTTTGCGTCCCCGCTACAAACACAGCTGCCCTGCCTGGTATTAAGGATTTGCCTTCACCGCTGTTTCAGCTAAAGAAAAATTAAAATATAGCTTTTGTTTGGTTGTTGGCAGCCGAGCATATCGTGAAAATGATCAGTTACATCCAGGCATAAAAATAAAATTGCTAGTGCCATTATCATCTCATTTAAAACTCTCCAACATACATTAACAGCAGATAAATGCGTCACAAGCGACAATTAATTTTGAAAGTTTTTAAGTGTTCATGCGGGAGATGAAGAATCATAATAATTGCTAATAATTCTGCAACATAGATTTATCGTTAAACTTCCTTCCTGGAGATTACCGGAAAACTTAAAGGACTGCAATTTTTCTATGGAGCTTATAGTCTAAGATCCCATTCTATACTTTTTTAGGGTCTATTGCATCCCTTTTTTGAGGCCAGCTTACTCGTCTTAAGATTCAAAGCCTCCTGATTACCTTTAGTCATCAATTGTTGATCTGACTCCCAATGCGGTATATGTTTCTTGCGCTCGTTGAGGAATAAAGTGAAATAAAGAAGCCTTCAATTTAACGTGTATGCAATGTTATGTAGTAGTAGTAGTCCTTTATTTAAAAAAAAAAAAAACAAATTTCAACAACAACAAAAACAACTGGTAGCATTACAGCATTTCACAAGTACATACATATATATTCAAATATAATAAATTTAACAAATTCTGTCAGATCTTATGTGTTTGATGTTTGATAAGTGCTTTTTTGAAATACCGGACTGAGTCGGCGTTTTTTATTTGCTGGGGCAACTTATTGTATTCACATAGACCTTTGAACATTATTGTTTTCATTGTACCCTTCATATTTGTTTTATTTACGTGGAAATCAGTACACGTCCTAGTATTATATGAATGGATCTCATTATTTGGGCGTACATGCGCACCTAAATAATTAGGTAATGTTCCCTTCACAGTTTTATAAATAAGTAGCTTTATTGTTGAATAAAGATGTTGACTCACCGATAACCACTGTAGAGTATCCAGCATATATTCAATTCTTGTGTACCTAGAGCACTGTGAAATTATCCGCATTCCCCTATTTTGAAGTTTTTGTAAGGTGCCTATTTTGTTCTTGCTAAACAAATATAATAAAGATGAACAGTACTGAAAATGAGGTTTTATTATTGTATTGTAAACCGTAATTCTTGCAAACATTGATAGCTGTTTAGAAACTCTTGAAAAAAAATAAAGTTTCTTTGAAATTTTCTTAATAATATGGTCACTATGGCTGTTAAAGTTTAGGTTTTTATCCAAACATAAATCCAAGGTATTTCATTGTATCAACTATATCAAGAACTGTCTTTTCAATTTTAATTTGGATATTAGCTTTTATTATATTCTTGTTTTTACTTCTGCTTGATATCACCATTGCTTTTGATTTTTGAGTGTTCAACTTCAATTTGTTCATTTTTAAATATGTATCAACGTTTGCAAGGTCACTGTTCACAATATCTATAGCCTCATTCAGGTTTTTGCAGGCTTATAGGATGCCTTAGATTGGATAATGACGCCTTCTGCGTTGAGGAAGATATTTGACAATTTCCTGTCACTCCCATGTCAAGATATGTGTCCTCGACATAAGATGATCTTAGGTAAAGGAATAATTATGATCACAGAAAAAGGTTGGGCTGCAATTTGAGTTTTTTAAACGACGATACCTACTTGCATACTTCATGTTTATTTCAACCATATCGTATTCATATCGTCAAATCATATTGGACGAAAATACCCTTGGTTTGCGAAATAATTGTAAAAAAACTTACAAATACGAAATGTTTGGATTTGTTTAGAAGAAAAAACGTAACCCTTCGTTTTTCGCATAAAAATAACAATTATCTTCCGGAATGGCTTGTGATTTATGTGGGCAAGGTAAACGAACCCTGTATATTGCTCAATAACTAGTAGTGATGGCCGGAAGATAGGTGTTTTGGGATAAACAATTAGAAATTCTCAAAAACTACTTGTCCAATCGACTCCAATTTTGCTGTGGTTATTTAGAAGTAAGAAGCCTTCGGATATGAAGAATTTAATAGAAGGTCTCATAAATACCTAAAATCTTATTTGAAGAATTTTTTCGTTCCTGCCAACACAAAAAGTGTTCGCACAAAAATTGGCGTACCCATTTTATGCGTACATGCATTAATAAAACCAGACTACAATTATTTCTGAGAAATTTGCTAATATCGTTAGACTAAAAAGGTTATACCCCGAATCGTGGATTTTTCCTCCTAACTCATTCGGTATATCAGTCAACCACTTACGACAGAAACAAGGAAAAAACAATAAGAGAATGCAGGCGTTAAAGAGAATTATACCCTTTCCAACTGGTTTTTGTTGGTGACAGCACCTTAACGTATCTACTGCCTCTCCAGGTTAACTCGCTATCCCGGCCAAGATAGAGGGCCAAGAACATTTTATTTTTATTTATTACCGCTATTAAATACTGTTAGGTGGAAGCTGCACAAAAAATATTGGATCTCTTAGAATCGAACTTGGACCCGGCGATTTTTTTACCCTCCATGCGAGGCTTGAAGATGGCCGGTGCTCTCGAGAAGTCGATGATTAATATGAATATCCTGATTGAAGTTTTGATAGGACTGGCCGATGAACCATGTATACGGCTAGAAAAAAGTTAAATTCAGATTTTACGTGGAACATTTACAAAAACCAGCATGGGAGCATTTCCAAGCTGAGTTTTTGTTTTGTTGCGTTTTACGAACTCAGACTTTTCTCTCCATTTTAAAGGGAAGATACCTGAAGGTATGAGTGGTTTTGAGGTTCAAAATATTTGGACATTCTTAGTTATTTTTAAATTATGCTCGTGGTTAGGAAAGCTTGGAAAGGTCATATCGCTTTCGTGAATCACCATCAGTCATTTTGAGTTAATTTGCATGTTTTTACATCTAGTCCGTTCCGAAATCCTTCATTGAGCATCTGTTAAACATATACTCGAATTCAGAGGAATGTGCAAGTAAAATTTAGAGTCGTTGCAGCTACGAGCTGACAAAGACTACAACTGAGAAGACAGGCAAACCAACGATCGTTGGAAATGCACAATGGTGATGTAAACCTCAAGACATCTAACAAAGCATTTTCGAAAATTCATTAGACTCCCTTCGATAAAAAATTATTTTAAAAAAACTGGAACTATGAAGGACAAAGATATATAGACAAAGCCAAACAATTATAGAAAAAAGAAGCAAAGTTCGTTGAATTATAGAAAACCTACAATGTTTGTGTTAATATTTTGTAGCATAACCATTGTTATCAATCACCGTCTGGCATCGTCTCGGCATAGATTGTAGAAGTTTCTTGATATAAGATTCATCAAGCTGTCTCCACTTTTGCTCTAAAGCGGCAAAAAGTTCATCCTTGTTTGAATAATTTTTATATCGTATTTGCTTATCTAAGTATTCCCATAGATTTTCAATGGGATTTATATCGAGAGACTGTGAAGGTCATTTGAGAACAGGTATTTTTGCATCCAGAAAGAATTTGAAGTGCGCTTCGGGTCATTATCTTGCTGGAAGATTGATCTCAAGGGCATATCGTCTTCCATATAGGGTAACATGACATGCTTTAGTATGTCTGTGTATACAAACTTATCCATAGAGCCATCTATTCTATGTAAAGGTCCCATCCCAAACCCCGAAAAGCACCCCCAAAACCACAACAGACCCGCCTCCATGTTTGACAGTGGGCAAAGTGTACTTGGGGTTAAATCTTTGTCCACTAGGACGTCTAACGTAATGAGCACCATCTGGTCCAAACATATTGAACTTGGATTCGTCACTCAAACATACCCTCTTCCAATCAAGATGCAACCGTGCAAATTGTAATCGGTCCTCGAGATTAGCGGATTCTTACTCGGGCGACGTGCAAATAACTTCAAACCATTTAATCTTCTACTTATAGTTTTCGTAGAAACACTGACAATTCATTTTGTCTCGATTTCGGATTTTATTTGTCTTGGGGTTTCGACCGGCTCCTTGGACTAAATTACTTTTATTAATCTAACTGATCTAGCATTTAGTTTTCTAGGCCGACCACTTCTCTTTGAGGCTTCCAAGGTACCTTTTTGTTTATATTTGTTCAATATTGCCCAAACCGCTTTACGCTTCAGCTTAAAATTTTTGGCAATGTCGGCTTGACTTCTTTGTATAACTCAATGATCTGAGTTTTCACATCGAAACAAATTTCTGGACCACGCAGCATGGTCTTAAAATCACTCAAATTATTCCACAATACTTGATGAACACAAACTAATCCTCTCCTGACACGAAACTGTACTAAACTGATGTTGAAAAGAATTTGTCTACATATTTTTGTCCCACATAAAAAAGTGCTTATATTCAGAGTTGTATTGTGTTCATTGCAGATAATGTAAAAACAACGCATTTGTTTATGGAGCAATGAAGTATGAATTCGTTTTCTAAAGGTATTTAGGTAAACATTCATATTTATCTATATACTTTTGTCCATTACTGTATATCGCGGGAGGGGGGGTTGCGGGTCATTCTTATTTTCAGCGAAAGAATTGTTTAATGCAGGTAAAATCCCAGTTTGTCATTTACCTCTAAAGTACTTATGCAATATTTATTATCCTATTTCCTATAGAAACTATAAATATAATCACCATGTTACTTTGTTAAGGTGTAAATTAGATCAAATATAAGGGAAGATTACGCGCTATTGATTGTGAGATTTGTGTCACTATTCTATGTGTTTGTCTTACTTGCTCTGCTAAAAGCATTGCTGTTAAAGTTGTGATTGTTTCTTCTGTCATGA